CATTCCCTGACCTCTGCAACCTGCTTCTTGGCTATAAATACCCATTTTTCCTTGTTATATTCGGAGTTGAGCCCAGTATAACACTGTCCTCTCCTTTCCCCTTGTGCGGTGGTTTCTGATTAGAATCTGTTTTTACTGCTTTAAATACTGTCCAGCTCTGGTTCTCTTTAATAGTGTTCACAGTGCCTTCCTAAAAACTGATTTATAATGCAGATCATTTTAAATCAGCTCAAATTTCCACTATGCTTCATTTAGAAGTTGCATATTCAATGAAACATCTACCATCAAATACATCAGAGCTCCAGGGCAGAAATAGGACAACTTATTCTCTATAATCACATAAATCAATAAATTATGCTTCAGATCACTAAATATTGAAGCTGGGAGGAGCTTTGGAGGTCATCTTTTTATTTTATAGAAAAGAAACCAAGGTCAAGATTGATATTTTGGCTAAATCTGCTGTTTTGGAGGTGGTGGGGACAGAAGTTGGAGCCAGAATGCATGTTTCTGGTGCAGCCTTAGGTTTTTTAGGCTCCTTTCTCCCCATAAGTGCAGCTGTTGATTTACGTGGTGCTCTGATGACAGTTGGCAGCATAAAACTCTATGTCATAAATTTACACATATTTAGAGTGCCATGCTAGCTCTGATATTTATTGGTTTAACAATTAATTGACATTAATTTAGAGGGCTTTTGGGGGATCACTGGATGGTACTGTGTGATATGGTAATTTGTTATAAATACACATCTTGGCCTTTTGGCCAAGTTCCTGGCTAACAGCTCCCTAAACCCCTGGAATATCCTCAGTGATAAGAGCAATGGAAGCATCTTTTGTTATAATATTTGATTTCTTGTCCTCAGTTCCTGAAATCAGAGTCATAAAGGTGAAATGGATGTCTTGTTACTCATAACAAGCCCCTTTCAGTTACAACTGTTTATGTTAATAAGGTGGCTTTTGAAAATCCCTGAAGATGATGGAGCTGGTTGCCAGGGGAACCAACCCAGAATAGAGGGTTGGAATTTATTCCCATCTCCTGATTTCCCAGGAGGAAAGAGGGGCTGGAGGTTGAATCAATCACCAATGGCCAGTGAGTTAATCAATCATGTCTATGTAATGAAGCCTCCATGAAAATCCCAAAAGAGGGGGTTCAAAGGGCTTCCATGTTGAGAAACCAGAGCTCTTTCATGTGCCACTGTGCTGGGCCCAAATTCCGTGGGGACAGAAGCTCCTTTGTTCAGTACCTTGCCCTATGTGTCTCTTTTATCTGGCTGTTGATTTGTATCCTTTATATCTTTGTAATAAATTGATAATCTAGTGAATAAACTAGTTTCCTGAGGTCTGTGAGCTGCTCCAGAAAATTAATCAAACCCAAGGAACAGGTCATGGGAACCTCTGATTTGTGGCCAATCTGTCAGAAGAGCAAGTGAGAACCTGACTTGCAGTTGGCATCTAGAGTGTGTGTGTGTGTGTGTGTGTGTGTGTGTGTGTGAGACTGAGCCTTTACCTGTGGAATCTGATGCTATCTCCAGGTAGATGGTGTCAGAATTGAACTGAGTTGTCGGACACCCAGCTGGAGTTGAGGAATCACTTGGTGTGGGGGAAAAACTCACACATAGGAATTGTGGTGTGCAGACTCAGACTCAGACTCTGAAACCCGAAATATCCAACATCCCTGAGAGAATGCTTTATTTGGCAATGTTTCTTGAGTGCCTGTAAGATGTGCTGAGGACTTAAAATGCAACAATGAGCAAGACACAGATCCTGCGCTTGGTGATGCTCAGTGAGTGTCAGGGTAGCAGACTCCTGATGAGGTGAATACAATATGACGAGGTTATAATCAATACAGGGCTCCAGGGAAGCTCGCAGGAAGATGGTCTGATCAATTGGAGGGCAGAGGAAGCTTTCTGGAGGACCGTTAGGATGTGTGGGGGTGAGAGGAAGAATATTCTAGGACAGGGAACCACATAGTCAAAGTCTGGGAAGTAAATGACTCAACTTTCAGGGGAATGAGAGGATCGGCACATTCCAGGTCCCTGGAAGCCAGGATTGGTCTCTGTGGTTGAGAGGAGAGCAGGAAAGGATGGAAAGAGCCATATCAGGGAGGCCTTGTCAGCAAGCAAAGTGCTTTAAGAGGCCTGGGCTCCACCGTAAAGACAGAAGGAAAACACTGAGTGTTAAATCAGGAGAGTGGAATCAGATACGGGCTTTAGGGAGATTAATCGGGGTGTGGTGGAGAATGAGTTGGATAAGGATGTGGGACAGGGAGGCTGTCACTGTACTGAAGAGAGTTATGGGGAACTTGAGAGAAATGGTCCTGGGATGGAGACAAGCAGATGTATCAAAAGATGGTAGGGAGGGGGGCATGTAAGGACATAGAGAAAGAACTTTGTAATAGGAATCTCCTTTTTCCACTTTGATTTCTTACTTTTGGGATGAGCCAACCCTGAGCAGAAATGGATTTTGTAGAAGGGCAGGTCAAAGAAGGACAGTCAAGTTCTTCTTGGTTCACAATGTGGGGGACATGGCAAATGGGAGCTGGCCTCAGGGTTTCTGTTTTGTTCCGTTTGTTTTACTGTGGCTAAATCCTTCCTATTCCTGACCTCCTGCCCCACCTCCATCCCACCGTGTCCACCTCTACTAACCTACAGGTTAGTACAGGGGACACAGACAGCCTCTCAGAAGGGCAAGGTGGGAACGAAGGACCCTGTGCTCTTAACATGAATATTCCTTGCTCAGTTAGTGGTGGAGTCAGGACAAGATTCCCCTAGCCTCCTAGCCCAGTCTCCTACCAGCATGCCAGGAATCCCCTTGCCTTTCCAGCTGTGTCACCTCTTTCTCCTCCAGCCCTCCGTTCTGCTGTGTAGACTCCCTCTGCACAGACCTTGTGCATTCTGAGTGTATTGTGGGTTGAATTGGGTCCCTTCCCTACTTCCTACATTCATAGGACTTCATGTTGGACTTCATGTTGAAGTCCTAGCCCCCAAAACCTCAGAATGTGACCTTGATTGTAGATAGAGTGGTTGCAGATGTAATTAGTTAAGTTAGGATGAAGTCATGTGTGGGCTCAGTCGTGTCCGACTCTTTGTGACTCCATGGACTATAGCCTGCCATGCTCCTCTGTCCATGGAATTTTCTCGGGAGGAAAATGGAGTGGGTTGCTATTTCCTTTTCCAGGGGATCTCCCTGACCCAGGGATTGAACCCCTGACATGAGCATTGGCAGGTAGATTCCTCACCACTGAGTCACCGGGAAGCCCAAAGGTGAGGTCATACTGGGCTCCTAATCCAATAAGACTGGGGTTATAAAGGAGGAAATTTGCATATAGATACAGACACACTCAGAGGGAGAACGCCATGTGAAGGTGAAGACATAGATTGGGGTGAGGCCAAGATATGCCAAAGATTGCCAGCAAACTACGAGCAGCTAGAAGAGAGGCATAGAACATATTTCCTTCTAAAGGAATTGGCCCTGCTGACACCTTGATTTTGGACTTCTAGCCTCTAGAATTGTGAAAGAATAAAATTTCATTGTTCCAAGACACCGAGTTTGTGGTATTTTGTTATGGCAGCTCTAGCAAACGAATACCGTCTAAAAGGCCTTTGTACCCTTCCCTGGTAATAGCTTCACAATGGCCTATAAGACACAGAGTGGCCACGGTCCTATAGGGTCAAGATTAACAGAAGATTACTCTTGGGCTGAGTGCCAAACCCATCATCACTTTTCTTTCTTTCAGCAGGCTTACTTGTTGCTCCTTAAGGGCCTGCCCCAAATTGTGTTCTCTGGTGATAAGTTTAAAGGATTTCATCTCCTAAAGTATGAGTTGCCAACGGTACACCTAGATAGCAAATTGCAAAGCAGAGACATTACTTTTTCGACAAAGGTCTGTATAGTCAAAGCTATGGTTTTTCTGGTAGTCATGTATGTCATACATGTGAGTCATACATGTGAGTCATGTATGGTAGGATGTGAGAGTTGGACCATAAAGAAGGCTGAGCGCTGAAGAATTGGTGCTTCTGAACTGTGGTGTTGGAGAAGACTCTTGAGAGTCCCTTGGATTGCAAGGAGGTCAAACTAGTCAATCCTAAAGGAAGTCAGCCCTGAATATTCACTGGAAGGACTGATGCTGAAGCTGAAGCTCCAATGTTTTGGCCACCTGATGAGAAGAGCTGACTCACTGAAAAAGACCCTATGTGTGTGTGTGTATGTGTGTGTGTGTGTGTGTGTGTGTGTGAAAGTTGCTCAGTCATGTCCGACTCTTTGTGACACCATGGACTATACAGTTCATGGAATTCTCCAGGCCAGAATACTGGAGTGGGTAGCCTTTCCCTTCTCCGGGAGATCTTCCCAACCCAGGGATCGAACCCAGGTCTCCCACATTGCAGGCAGATTCTTTACCAGCTGAGCCATAAGGAAAAGATCCTGATGATGGGAAAAATTGAAGGCAAGAGGACAAGGGAATGACAGAGGATATGATGATTGGATGGCATCACCAACTCAATGGACATGAGTTTGAGCAAACTCTGGGAGATAGTGAAGGACAGGGAACCCTGGCATGCTGCAGTCCATGGGTTCACAAAAATTCGGACTCAGCATCTGAACAACAACAACGTCACATCAGAGATAAGAATTGTTTTTTTGAGAAATTAAGAAATAAGATTCCTAAATTCAGAATCTGTCAATATACTTTATCTGAAATACTTGCCAGTTGCTGAATAATATACACACACACAAGTATGTGTTTATGTATGTATGCTTAATATGTAATATGTAGACATACATCTGCAATATATACTTGCTTTATGTAAAAAAATATATAGACATACATCCTAAATGTAATCTACAGTTAACATTCTCAGTTAAACATCTCTCCAAAATGTTTATCCTAAAAAGATACACTGAACTGTTTATATGCTCTGTCTTGGATTAAACCTCTTGGCAAGATTCTTTGGACATTAGGAGAATGTTAAAAGCGTATCCAGATACACATATAAAAGTACTTACCAAGGAACATTTCAATAACAGATGCCTTCATAGTGAGGACAACAATCCCCATAAATATCAAAATGGCACCCTAGAGAGGAAGAAACAATAACATCATCGTGTTTCAGCCAAGAGTTCTGAATTGCATGCGCAGAGTGTAGGGAGGGGCGGTCTCCTTTTGCATTGCCCTCTGGAGTCTTAAGATTTCAAGCTGTGGCTCTCTGTAAACAACACATGGAGACGGCGGAGGTCGGCTGTCCTGGTACCCAGAGAGGCACTTCTCAGAAAACCCATTCTAGCCGCCAGCCGCCTCTTCTTCAGAGATGTGGTCTTAGACTAAAGAGGAAATAATTCCGCAATTTCCTGGATATGCTCAACCAGCCTTCCAATTAGGACAAAAGTCACACTTACGGCATTTACAGAACACTTTTAGATTACAAACTGTTCTAGATTACAAAAGCAATTCATTCACTGTTTTTTCAATAAACGTTTACCAAACTGCTATTATATGCCTAGTGATGAGTTTATAAAAGTTGAATTAAAAAATAGTTCTGCTCTTAAAAGACACAGTTTGATAACAAAGTGAGAAAACATACGTGGACAGAAATGACCCTAACATTAGAGAGTGTGCAGGCCCCTAAAGGGAGAATAAGGGGAGTTTGTGGACCAGTAATTCTCAAAATTAGCCACATATTAGTATCATCTGGGAGTTTTGAAAGGCCCTGATGCCTGGGCTGCATCTCAGACTAACTGAATCAGAATCTCTTGAGAGTGGGATCTATCTGGGCATCAGGCTTTTTCAAAACTCCACAGGTAATTCCAATGTACAGCCAAGTTTGAGTGATTTAGAACAAGGCTTCCTAAAACTTAATGTACATATCTGGGGATCTTGTTAAAATTCAGATTCTAATCCAGAGAGTTGTCAAGAAGTCCCCAAGAATTTTAGAGGAAAGAGAGATTATGTCAGCTGTGGGAATAAGAGAAAGTCTCGTGAAGGTGGCAGCAATTGGGTTAACTCTGAGAGATGAAAATAGGAGACGAAGTGGCTCCAAGTTGAGGTGACCAGCATTTAAAGATGCTCAGAGGTTGAAAAGCACAGTGGATACAAAGATGCTATTGATCCATAGAGGTTCCAACCTCTCTTAAGACTATGAGGAAATGTTAGGTTTATTCATACCACCATTAATTGAATGAATACTGTGCATACTATATTGTCTAGAATCTGCACAGCAAGCAAAGTAGCAGATTTTATGATCCCCGTTGAACAAATGAGGAAACAAAGGCTTACAAAGGTAAATTAGAGGTTACACATATGGTAACCAGGCAGTGAGTAGGATTAGAATGGAGGTGGCAGTAGGTGGGAAGGATCTACCCTGGGCTTAGGCCATATGGAAGAATATGGTCTATAGAGAATTTAAAGACTTAAAGTTGGTCTGCTCTTTATTATCCTTATAAACTAGCAATTCTAAACAATGTCAGTGATAAAGCTCTCCTCCTCTCTGGGGCAGATGGCCCCCACTATATTCACTCCCCACCCCCTCACCTCCCGCCTGCCACTGCTGAGTGGCTTTTAGGTTTTAGCTGGCATTCATAACTCTACCCCCTGCTATGTCCACTGGTGTGCTAGGAAACCTGCTGTCTGGAAAAGAAGTTCTGATTTAAAGCATTTGTTAATTTCTATGGCATAAATCCTCCCACCGTGGGTGATTTTGAAGTCACCAAAGTGATGTCACTGCCTGGAGATTTGGAAAGAGAGAAACACAATCTGATACTAGCTAAGTCTAGAGCAAGCATATAATTAATAAATAGATACACTTCTGTGCAGAGTTTATTAACAAAAAGCAGTTATTAGATTATAGCTAGGGTAGTAATACAAGCACTTGATACTATCAACTTAAATAAAAATGGTAGTTGAAAGGCTTTGTTACAAACAAATTAGGCAGCAAGAGTAACCTCAAGCAGAACTGTCCCTTTGCTAATTTCCAGCAACAGCTGTAATGTGTTAAATTTCCCAATTAAGGTAGTTGACCACTAGCTAAGTAAAAGGAAAATGGTTTTTTCCTTCAAAATAGAAATAATCATACCCTGTGTATGATCAGCAATTTGATACTTAACTAGCTGGGTCATATTTTGGAAATAATGTGATAACAAGTCAAATTTTTTGTGTGTGTTTTACTAGTTTGAGAAGCTGCAGATCAGCTCACATGTTTTCAGGCTTAAAATTGTAACCCTCCTGTTGGGATAAATGCAGTATATTAATCTGCTTCCTGACCCACCTAACTAGCTTCACCAATTGGCTGTTGCCATCTGGCACTGGACTTTAAAATTTTTTTTAAATCAATTTATTCTTTCATTGAAGGATAGTTGCTTTACAATATTGTGTTGGTTACTGCCATACGTCCACCATGAATCAGCCAAGATATCCATATGTCCCCTTCCCCTCCCGCCTGAATCTCCTTCCCACATCCCACCCCATGCCACTCTTCTAGGTTGTCACAGAGCACTGCTTTGAGCTCCCTGAGTCATCCAGCAAATTCCCACTGGCTCTCTACTTTGCATATGATGATTTATATGTTTCCATGCTACTTTCTCCATTTGTCCTACCCTCTCCTTCCCACAGCGTGTCCACAGTTTCTTCTCTATGTCTGCATTTCCACTGCTGCTCTGCAAATGGGTTCATCAGTACCATCTTCCTAGATTCCATATATATGTATTAATACATGATATTTGTTTTTCTCTTTTTGACTTCACTTTGTGTAATAGGCTCTAGGTTCATTCACCTCATTAGAACCAATTCAAGTGTGCTCCTTTTTATAGCTAAGTAATATTCCATTGTGTATACGTACCGCAATGTCTTTGTCCATCCATACCTGTCAGTGTACATCTAGGTTGCTTTGTCTGTGAGTCATTCTAGATTTCTCTTTCTCTTGTCCTGCACATCTTTTCCATCAACCAAGACTGTTGACTCTACGTTCATAATTTATCCAGACTCTGACCACTTCATCCTATCTTTACCATTCCCATCTGGTCCAGGCCATGCCCCCTCTCACCTGGATTAAAGCAATTAGCCTCCTAACTAGGTTGTCTCCTTCTGCCCCTGCAAACTGAAGTCCACACAGCCGCTGCTGTGATACTCTTCAAAGCAAATCAGTTCATGGTATTCCTCAGATCAAAACTTCTGTGGTTCTCTTAGAAGAAAAGCCAAAGTCCTGGCAAGTGGCTCAGGACCCCATGAGATTTGGCCACCGTTGGCCCTCTGACCTCTCTTCCCTCCATTCTCCTCTCACTTAATAAGCTCTGGGCACACCTCTCCCTTCAGGGTCTCCTCCGCTGCCGCTAAGTCACTTCAGTCATGTCTGACTCTGTGCAACCCTGTAGATGGCAGCCCACCAGGCTCCTCCGTCCACGGGGTTTTCCAGGCAAGAGTACTGGAGTGGGTTGCCACTTCCTTCTCCAATGCATGAAAGTGAAAACTAAAAGTGAAGTCGTTCAGCCGTGCCAGACTCTTAGCGAACCCATGGATTGCAGCCCACCAGGCTCCTCCATCCATGGGGTTTTCCAGGCAAGAGTACCGGAGTGGGGTGCCACTGCCTTCTCTGTAGGGTCTCTGCACTTACTGTTAACTCGACCTGGATGGCCTTCCCCCCAGATCAGAGCAGGGTTTACTCCCTCATTTCTTTCAGGTCTTTGCTAAATGTTATCTTCTCCTGAGATTTCCCCTAATCACTTAACTTAAAATTGCAATCCCTCTCCCACCCACCATCAATTGGCACAGCCTACCAAGTGGTGCAGGTGGTAAAGAATTCACCAGCCAATGCAAGAGACGCAAGTTCAATCTGTGAGTTGGGAAGATCTCCTGGAGAAGGAAATGGCAATCCACTCCAGTACTCTTGGCTGGAAAAATCCCATGGACAGAGGAGCCTGGCAGGCTATAGTCCATGGAGTCCCAAGAGTTGGACACGACTGAGTACCATCAGCATCATCCTTTCCCTATTGTCTTTTTTTTTTTTTTCAGTCACTTACCACCTCTGACATACTCTGTACTTTGCTTATTGTATTTATTTATTGTCTGTGTTCTACACTGGAATGCAAGCTCCATGAAGGCAGGAATTTTTATTTGCTCTTTTATGGGCTTGATAAATATATTTAATCCATGAGTGAGTAGTTAGGGCTTTTTCTTTTCCCAAGGAAATTAAGAAAGGAAACAAAATGAAGACAATCTGTGAATACTCTAAAAGCTACTGAATTGTATACTTCCAGAGGTGTATTTTATGACATGTGGATTATATTTCAATAAGCATTATTAACAGTCAACAAACAAAGGGAAGATGGAATTCCAGAGAAAAGGGCTTAGATCTGTCCTACAACTTAAGAAGTCATGATAGACCTGACCTTCATACAAAGGGGTGGATGGATAAAAAACAACAGGATTCCAGGAAACATACTAACCCCAGAGGAAATATCCCACAAGTGCTGACTCATCAGCAGTGGACCGCAACCAGAATCACTCTGGTCTCTTAGAATCAGGATGTTCTGAGGTTTCTTTCTTACCACTGGATTTTCTCTCTTTGCTTGGCTCATTTACTTACACATTTCAAGTGTAAATATGCCTTTTGAAATGTGTGAAATAAATTCAAACCCTTTCTTAGCCTTTATAGAAATGAGATAAGGATGACCACCAGTATTGTTAAACAGTTTCTGCAGGCAGTTCAATGTCAAGCAGCTGTGGGTTACACGGTGATGTTGGAAACTTACTATCTCATGTGCTCACCAGGTTTCTAGCAAAAACAGAACAATAGAGGTTTCCAAAAGAATGAGTTACTGATTCATAGATTTATAAATTGTGAGTTGTAATATAGAGTTCTGAATATGAAGTTCTGGTAAGGTAAAGGAAGGCTGATTGTGAGATAAAAGTATGCATAAATAGAGTAGCCAGCCAATTTAATTAAATCTCTTGCTGCCTAGAATTGGAAAAGAGCCAATCATTGGTAATAAATATAATGCCACCCTATTTTGTGTGGTTCTTCAGTGTTTTTCCTCCATTTTTAAAAAAGTATGGTAAAATACAAAAATGTAAAATTCATCTTAACC